TTCTACGGGTATGCCTGCAGGCCAGAAGAGGGCACCAGACCTCATTACAGATGGTTGTGAGCCACCATGTGGTTGCCGGGAATTGAACTCAGGACCTTTTGAAGAGCTGGCAATGCTCTTAACCGCTGAGCCATCTCTCCAGCCCTCTTTTATGGTTTTTTGAGACAGGGTTTCTCTGCATAACACACAGTACTGGCTGTCCTGGAACTCACTTTGTAGACCAGCCTGGCCTCGAACCCACAACAGAGATCCGCCTCCCTCTGTCTCCCGAGTGCTGGGACGGACTAATGGCGTGGGCCACCACTGCCACATCCTTTTTTTCTAAGGGCCATTTTAGAAATTGTTGGAACTTGAACTTAAAAAAAGCAGCAATTCAGCCGGGCGATGGTGGCGCACGCCTTTAATCCCAGCACTCGGGAGGCAGAGGGAGGTGGATCTCTGCGAGTTTGAGGCCAGCCTGATCTACAAGAGCTAGTTCTAGGGCAGACTCCAAAGCTACAGAGAAACCCTATCTCGAAAATAATAAATAAATAAAAATAAATAAATAAAATCGGCAATTCATGTTGCAGGGATCTGATGCAGTCTTCTAACTTCTTGAGGCCCCAGGCACACACTTGATACACAGATGTACATGCATGCAAAACATCCATACAAATAAATATCTGGATCTAAAAAATAATTCATTTGTGTTAAATGTGGAGTGTGCACATGCAGAGGTCAGAGGACATCAGGCGCCTGGCTGTGTCCTGCTGCTTTACTCCTGTTTTGGGTCTCTCACTACACCTGGAGCGAGGCACCAAGCCCCAGTAAGGATCCTCCTGCTATGCTCCAGTGCTCCTGCCTCCAACACTGGGCATATGGTCATGCCCAGCTGGGGATTCAAACTCAGGACCTCAGGTCTGCACAGTAAGTGAGTAAGTGCTTTAACCCCCTGAGCCATCTACCCAGACCTGGGAACTGAACTTCAATGGCAAGGATAATTTATGGACCATAAGTATAGCATATAAACCCAATACAGGGGCTGGAGAGATGGCTCAGTGGTTAAGAGCATTGCCTGCTCTTCCAAAGGTCATGAGTTCAATTCCCAGCAACCACATGGTGGCTCACAACCATCTGTAATGGGGTCTGGTGCCCTCTTCTGGCCAGCAGGCATACACACAGACAGAATATTGTATACATAATAAATAAATAAATAAATATATTTTTTTTAAAAAAAACAATACAGTTTTTAGAATTAAAAACAAATATTCTGCAACTGTGTCCAAGGACTTCAGATGATCAATTGTAACTCTTACAATTAAATTTTTCGTTAAGTTTTTTTTTTAACTTAAAAATCATCTGTAATTAATTATACAGATTTTTAAATAAGCATTTCCACTCCTTCCTTCCACTTTAACTCTTTGTTGTTGTTCTGTTTTTTGAGACAGGGTTTCTCTGTGTAACAGTTCTGGCTGGCCTGGAACTCACTTTGTAGCCAGCCAGGCTTGCCTGGAACTCAGAGATCTGCCTCCTGGGGTTAAAGGCAAGCACCACCACCTGGCCTATGTTATCTCTTAAGGTAAAACTTTCCGTTTTATATTGTAACATTAGATGTTAGTTTCTTCCTTGAGGAGACATACTTAAATCACTGAGTTCTTTGACAGTATCTTACAAGTTTTGGAAGGTCTAATCATAATGAAAAACATTAACAAAATTAGTTCTTTTCTCAATCAAAACTATAGCTTCATCTTTCTGCTTTCTCACCCTAAGAACCACCCTAAATCTGAATATAAACAAACCTTTGTAATCATAGTCCATGTCTTAGCAAAGGTTTGTAAACAAATGGCCATTAAAGGCCATTCTTTATGAATTCTTGATGAAGTTAATGCCTTTTGTAGGGTATATTAATGTATTTGTTTTTAGCTCCAAGGGTCTATGGCGACCTGAAGTGAGCTAGTCACATGTCCACTGTCAGCCTGAACTTTTGCTATAAATCCAACATCTCCCCCATCAGTTGCTCCGCACCATCTGTCTGGGCAGCAAGGAAATATTTTCTCCCTTTAAACCTTCATTTGTGGAAAACACATGGACTTTAAAGATAATAGTTTTCCCTCTTAAATGTGACTTTCTAAGTAGGCCCAAACAGCGATTCTTCGCAAGTCCTATCTTACATAAAGAAACATCAGGGCTTTACCTAAACTGAACCACAGGCTTTGAGCTGCCCTGGAGCCTGGGAATAATTACAAATTTCAGAAACATTCTTTTGGAAACAGCATTGTTTGGTCAAAGCATTTTACAAATTCCATCCCCATACCTCGCCCCCCCATGTACTATTTCTGCCATTTTAATACAAGCAGGTAGCTAAGCTAGGCGCAGTGGCTCGTCTAATCCCAGAGCTAGGGAAGCAAGGTGAGAGAATCCTCACACCAACCTGAGTGGTATCTTTTCTCAACCAATCAATAAATAACAGCAACAGGGCATCTTCTACTGTACAGTGTTTAATTTTCTCCAATTAAATAACAATTTTATGATGCAACCACTCTTAAAAGTAACGGATTTCTCTATGTAGTCCTGATTGTCCTGGAACTCTCTGTAGACCAGGCTGGCCTGCAACACAACCTCCCAAGTGCCGGGAGTAAAGGCTTGGGTTACCAAGCCCTACCTAATAGTAACAAATTTCCCAAAAAATATTTTCTTTCAAAATATATTTTAATTAAATCTTTATAAAAGTTGTTCAACAGCTGGAGAGAGGCCCAGTGGTTATAAGAGCACTGGTTGCACTTGTAGAGGACCTGGGTTCAATCCCAGCATCCACATGATGGTTCACAACTGTCCATAATTCCTGTTCCAAAGGGTTCGATGACCTCTTCTGACTTCCATGGGCATCAAGCATACATATGGGGCACAAACACTCATTCAAGCAAAACACCCACTTGAAAAAAAAGACAAAAACATATTCTTGGACTAAGGATATAGTATACTTGGCCACCAAGCATTAGGCCCTGGAAACAACGCAAATTTCTTGTTATTTGGTTTTTGAGACAGGGTCTCATGTAGCCAAGCTGACTTCCAAATGGCTACATATCCCAGAATCACACTGAACTGTTCCTTTGACCTCTACCTCCCAAGACTAGACACTGGGATTACTAGACTTCAGCCCTTGGCTTCACTTAAAAAGCTGATATTCACATGGACATACATATCTAGTGGTAATGGTTGAGATTATCAAAGGGCTCCCACCTGACTTGCAATAACATAATACGTGTCACAGATGTGTCTGGAACCCCAGCACTTAGAGGTGGAAGCATGAAGACCATCAAAGATCAGGAGTTCGAGGTCATCCTTAACTCTGCTAATCTTTGGAAGCCAGCAGCGGTGGAGATCCACATCTCAAAATAAAAAATGGGTGTGCTCCACCATGCTTGGTAAGATAAAACAGCCTAACAACACAACCTTACCCAAAGATAACTCACTTATCACATGCTGAGTGAGGAATCACTGTTTCTGTTAACAGAAGACTTTGCTGTGTACAAGCAAGTGTCCATTCTGTGCTGGGAAATCAAGGCTGTGCTGAGGTCAAGGGTGAATTCTGACAGACTCTGCCAGAAACACATAAGCTATTCGGTGTTGGATTCTGAACTAATGACTGGTTGTTGCACGATCGTGTTGCCGTATTTTCATCAGTCCTCACATTCAGGTAAATTGGTCAGCACCCAATTTAACAAGCTGTGGGTTAAAATACACGCACAGAAAACCCAAAATGTATGCCATTCGAAACTTCAATGTATCACCTTTAAAACAGAAACACACAGGGAAAGTGTAACCAGGTAATAATGTCCCTGTAACCCAGGGTCGTCACAGGAGCTGCGAACACTCCTTAGCGTAACACCAGAGGTGCCTGTCTCTGCCTCCCCTGGGAAGCAAAAAATAAATAAATAATAAATAAATAAATAAAAATAAAAAAATAGGAGTCAGGTACTCTGAGGCCCTCAACATTTTAGCGTTATGTATTTAAATTTTCATCTGGGGCCAAAATCTTGCTGTATGCAGATCACGCTGGCCTGGATGCTCCTGGGAGGCCCTTAACTTAGTGGGTTGAGTGGGAGATTGACTTCGTCCCCAGACCTAAAGTAAACTAAAAGAATTTGGAAAACCAACCATTTTAGCTTCTCTGAGGGAAGCCATGAAAAACAAGGTCTGAAAATAAGATGGTAGATGCCGTTTTGCATCTACCACCGAGCTTGAGATGGGTTTCGTCCCCACTTTTCAGATGAGCAAACTGAGAGTATGAGGGTATGAGGAAGGTCATACTATTGGAAAGGGCAGAGGTTAGATTCAAAAATCAAAACTGGGGCCGACGCCACAGCTCTAAGGCCCAGAGGCTTTGGCCAGAACCTCGGATTTTCCATCCCTTTCCAGTGGTAAACGTTTTCGTTCCTCCGGTTCCACGGCTGTACAAGGGAAATAACACTTGATTTCGCAGGTTTGTTGTCAAGACGACGATAAACGAGCTTGTTTGCCCCAGGGTCAGCTACAAATACATGCTTAAAAAAAAAAAAAGGCGCGCACAATGCACCAGACTGGGCCGCGGGATCCCGCGCTCGGCGGTGGTCCCGCGCAGACCCGGCCCCCAGCGCGCGCGGCGCCGCAGGAGGAAACAAAGCCAGCGCTCGCGGCTGCCACCCGTCGGGCCCGCCCCCTCCCGGGGCTGGCGGCTTCCCTTCGCCCGCGCCGCTACCTACCGGGGCTCCGACTCAGCCTCGGCCTCGGCCGCTAGCCCAATCTCGGCGGCGCTTACTGCCTGGCTCGCTGAGAACAGGAGGGACGCGCGGGCGTGCACGCTGATCGGACGTCCAGCCAGCGGAAGGGGCGGGACCGGAAAACGGGGCCAAGCGTCTGCCGCCAGCACGGGAGGAGGTGGGCGTGGTCGGGCCGAGCTCTGCACAGAGCCGCAGCGGGTCCAGGCTCAGTCTTCACCTTTTTATCCACTACTTTTCTTCAGGGCCAGTGGAGGAAATGTACTTCCTGGCGCAATTTCTATCACCTGTTTTTTCCCCTAGAGCAGTGAATACGAACCTCACATTTCAGGAACAAAATGATCAGAGAAAGGTGTTAAAACCATGGCTCCGCTCTAGTAACCACAGTAGCCACAGCAGTTAACCACTCACTTTTTATCCACCAGGTTTTAAAAGCACTGTGTAACGTTATCTCAGGCTTCAGAGTCCTTATGGTGGATAATGTCGTTAATTTAATTTTACATAAGAAGTAACAGATCTTTCGAAGTTAATCCATTTCTCCGCTCAAAATCAATTGATTGCTGGTCCATTTTTGTCCAAACCTCTCTTCTAAATTACAATCTCTCCATAGTTCTGCGGACACGACTTCTTTCAAAAACATTTTCATTCGGTTACTCTGTTGGACAGCATCACATTTCGGGCATGCAGAGGATATATATTACTTATTAAATATTATAAGGTGGGAGCTAGAGAGATGGCTCAGAGGTTAAGGGCATTGCCTGCTCTTCCAAAGGTCCTGAGTTCAATTCCCAGCAACCACATGGTGGCTCACAACCATCTGTAAAGAGGTCTGGTGCCCTCTTCTGGCCTTCAGGCATGCACACAGACAGAGTATTGTATACATAATAAATAAATAATTGTTTTTTAAAAAATAAATAAATATTATAAGGTCCATGGTAGCTAAGATCTGATATTAATATCTGACATCTAATATCGATGGGGCCTGATTAGTGGGCAGGACAGCAGTCTTCAGGAGAGGAAACACTGGGAAAGCTACTAAGAAACGAACTCTTGGATCATGTCAAAACACCAGCCATCATGATGTGGACCTGACTTTTTTCTTCTCCTGCACCCTCTGTATTTGACATAATATGCACATGTGACATAAGTATGTACATGTGACATAAAACAGGACTACTATATCTAATTTTAAAATAATCAAGAACATAGTCTGGCCTAGCAAGCTGAAATTAGCAGATCAAGAAATGCAGCCTCGTCGGGTGTTAGCACACGCCTTCGCCTTCGATCCCAGCACTTGGGAGGCAGAGGCAGGCGGATCTCTGTGAGTTGGAGACCAGCCTGGTTTACAGGGCGCGATCCAGGACAGCCAGAACTATTACACGGAGAAACCCTGTCTCAAAAAATCAAGGAAAGGCTGGGCGGTGGTGGCACATGCCTTTAATACCAGCACTTGGGAGGCAGAAGCAGGCGGATCTCTGTGAGTTCGAGGCCAACCTGGTCAACAAGAGCTAGTTCCAGGACAGGCACCAAAAGCTACAGAGAAACCCTGTCTCAAAAAACAAAACAAAACAAAACAAAAACAAACAAACAAACAAAAAAACTCAGGACCTCTGGAAGAACAGCCAGTGCACTTAACCTCTGAGCCATCTCTCCAGCCCCGCTGGCTAGTTTTTAATGTCATCCCTGGAAAGCTAGAGTCATCTGAGAAGAGGGAGCCTCAGATGAAAAAATGTGCCTCTATTAAGATTGGGCTGCGGAGAGGTGGCAGCACAAGTTTTTGAACCCAGCACTCAGGAGACGAAGGCAGGTAGATCTATCTCTGTGAGCTTGAGGCCAGCCTGGTCTACAGACCTAGTTCCAAGACAGTCAAGGCTATGCAGAGAAACTCTGTCTCCAAAGCAAACAAACAAACAAAGATCAACAGGCCTTAGGCAGGCAAGCCTGCAGGGTATTTTCTTAATTAGTAATTAATGTGGAAGAGCCATTGTGGGTGGGGCCACCCCTGGGCTTAGGATTCTGGGGTCTCTAAGAAAGCAGCCTGAGCAAGTCAAGAGAAACAAGCCAATACGCAACACTCCTCCGTGGCCTCGCATCAGCTCCTGCTTCCAGGTTCCAGCCCTATCTGAGTTCCTGCCTTGGCTTCCCACAGTGATCAGAATTTGTAAGCCAAATTAACCCCCCCCCCCCCCCCCCCCCCCCCCCCCCCCCCCCGTTGCTCTCAATCATGAAGCTTCATCATAGTAATAGAAAAGTAGAAAAGTAAGTAACTTGTACATAAGGAATATCTTTCTTCATTTTTAGTGAATTCAACTTGTCCTAGAATTCCTAGTCCAGCATCTACACTGGTGCTGGTAAGGTCTCTTTGGACTTTAACATTTGGTTAATTTTGATTAATCCACCATGAATGTTGTTGCCATTGAAGACGGATAGCTTCTGAGTGATTGATAAAAGAGTCAACCTTGGGGCTGGAGAGATGGCTCAGAAGTTAAGAGTGCTGGCTGTTCTTCCAGAGGCCCTGAGTTCAATTCCCAGCAACCACATGGTGGCTCACAACCATCTGTAGTGAGATCTGGTGCCTCTCTGACATGCAGACAGAACACTACACATAATAAATCTTTTTTTAAAATATTTATTCATTATGTATACAATATTCTGTCTGTGTGTATGCCTGAAGGCCAGAAGAGGGCGCCAGACCTCCTTACAGATGGTTGTGAGCCACCATGTGGTTGCCGGGAATTGAACTCAGGACCTTTGGAAGAGCAGGCAATGCTCTCAACCACTGAGCCATCTCTCCAGCCCCACATAATAAATCTTAAAAAAAAAAAAAGAATCAACCTCAAATGTCTGGATATCCCATACACAAGTCAATACAATAAAGGTTACTTCTAGGCACAAGTCTGAGTGTGCCGTAGGGCTTCCAGAGCCATCCCAGCCTGATAGTAGTATGTACATAATCTGGAATTTGAGTCCAAGTTACTCCAATGAATTGAACTTCATGTGGTTGGAAGGTATTACTGTGGGCTATCTTGCCACACTGAGAGGGCAAGTGATCATCACAACAGGTTATATCGTGACAGGAACAGGCAGCTGCAATAGACTAGCCATTATATCCAGGAATTCTCACCCACTCTTTGTTACTGAAATGTAAGGTTCATGCTCACTGCTCTATGGAAAAAACAGGTGTCAGAAATTAACGTCAGGAAGTAGATTTACATCACAGCTTTAAGAAAAATACAGGAAACTTTTGCATCTCAAATATCTTTGGGAAGGAGCAAGAGGGCTTCTGCAGGATAAAAAGGTTCCAGATGGGCTGGAAGTCTGCGTGCTGTATGTAGTCTTCTGGTCCTCAGTTTTGCTTCTTCACATCCCCTTGGAAAGCTAAGTAAATTGACTAGAACCCGGGACTGTGACCTAAGGTCAGCATCTCTATTTTCTTTCTAGACACAAAGCTTTTCTTCAAATCAGTTCATATGAATTGCAGAGAAAAGGCCGCTTTCTAGAATTTAGACTTGATGTGGGATTCCCCTCTGTATGCTATAAATATGTTTTATTGCTGTTGGTTAATTCTAAATAAGCTGCTTAGGCCTATGGCAGGCAGAATAAAGCCCACCCACCCCCCAAATCCAAACAAAAACATAGAGTGAAAGTAGGCGGGGTCAGGGAGATACAATGTAGCTGCTAAAGGAGGCAGACACCATGTAGCTGCCCAAGAAGCAAGAAGTAACAAACCACAAGCCTTGCAATAAAATACAAAATAATAGAAATGAGTTAATTTAAGATATAAGAGATAGCTAGAAAGACACCTAAGCCATTGGCCAAACACTGTTATAATTAATATAGTTTCTGTGTCGATTATTCAAGTCTGGGCAGCTGGGAAATGGAAAAGCAGTCTCTGCTTACAAAATGGAAAACACAGATTAATATTCCTGCAGTCTTAGAAATGGAACATAAACCAACTCATGTTTCTGGGAAGGATATTATAAAAAACAGTCACCAACCATTCAGGTGGTATAAAAACACAAAATAACTGGCAAACTTTCAGAGGTACCTGTGGGGACTGAATTATACCCGCCCACATTCCACATTTTCTGGTGGTCAGAGAATCTGAGCAATGTACAAGGCTCAGTGTGCACCTTCCACCCAGGAGGTGGTCGCCTGGCTCTTTGATGGTAAAACAAAGTGGTCGGGATATGCTAATGCCATTCAGTTCCTTCTATTGTAAACTAGGAGGCCGCCTAGGGAAGAGGTGTTTTCTGTCTGTGTGACAAAATAGACACAGACAAAATGGGTATAGATGTGGCCTATGTCATTCCCCCATCCATTTGCCTGCAAAATTCAAGATGTCGTTATTTTTTCTGCTGTGTAGTACTCCATTGTGTAAATATGCCAGATTTTCCTTATCCATTCTTTGGTTGAGGGGCATTTAGGTTGATTCCAGGTTCTGGCCATATGAACAAAGTTGAGCTCATGTCCTTGTGGCACAATTGAGCATCCTTTGGATATATACCCAAAAGTGGCATTACTGGGTCTTGAGGAAGCTTGTTTCCCAGTTTTCTGAGAAATTGCCACACTGACATTCAAAGGGGTTGTACCAGCTTGCATTCCCACCAGCAATGCATTAGTGTTCCCTTATGCCTCTCCAGCATAAGTTGTCATCAGTGTTTTTGATCTTGAGCACCTACATTCTATACTGATGCAAATAAATCAGGGAAGGTAGGTTACAAATCAGAAGGTTTAAGTAAAGTAGAACAAAGCCCTTATGATTCTGTCCAAAAGTCAAAATTACGTGCTATTCTCAAGGTACTAAAGGATTTTAAAGAACCTCTCAAAACAGATACTGATTCACAATATTCAGAAAAAGTTCTTTGCATATTGAAACCACTGAGTTTATACCAGATGATACAGAACTGACTTCATTAATTATGCAGGTTCAAGATATAATCAGGTATAGGCTTTGTCCCATATACATAACACACATCAGATCCCATACCAGCACGCCAGGTTCTCTAGCACAAGGTAATGCAGAAATTGATTGATTATTGATTGGAAATGTGTTGAAGACCTCAGAATTTCATAAAAACATCATATCAATAGCAAAGGTTTAAAAAGGGACTTTTCTTTTACATGGCAGCAAGCTAAGGAGATTATAATGAAATATCCTACTTGTTCTTCATAAAAAACACCTGCAGGGGGCTGGAGAGGTAGCTCAGTGGTTAAAAGAACTGACTGTTCTTCCCAAGGACCCGAGTTCAATTCCCAGCACCCACATGGCAGCTCACAACTGTCTGAAGATCCAGTTCCAGGGGATCTGACACCTTCACACCAATGCACATAAAATAAAGTTAAATAAACCATTAAAAAATTAAAAAAAAAACACCTGCAGGAAGTAACCCAAAGGGTACCCAAAAGAATGGAATCAGGTAGACAGATGGATGTGTTCCACTTTGTAGATTTGGAAAATTAAAATATGTACACCACACCATTGACACCCATTCAAGTTTTCAATGGTCACTTGCTTTGAGTTTGGAAAAGGCTAATTCGATAATCACACCTTTACTGGAAGTTATGGCCATCATGTATATACCTGCACAAATAAAGACAGGCAATGATCCAGCATATGTCTCTAAGAAGATGAAACTGGTTTTTTGTTTATTATAATATAAAGCTAATCCCAGCACTTAGGAGGCAGAGGCAGGCAATCTCTGTGAGTTTGAGGCCAGCCTGGTCTACAAGAGCTAGTTCCAGGACAGGAACCAAAAGCTACGGAGAAAGCCTGTCTCAAAAAAAAAAAAAATNGTATATCACACAATCCTACAGGTCAGATAGTTATAGAAAGACCAAATTGAACTATAAAGGATATGTTAAACAAACAGAAAAGGATGAAAAATACCCCTAGAAATAGATTGCATAATGTTTTAGTAACCTTGAATTTTCTTAATGAGAAAGGAACAATGGCAGCAGAGAGACATTGGATAATAGGAAAAAACTTTTGAATTAAATCAGCTGGTGTATTTCAAAGATATGTTAACCTCAGAATGGAAACCAGGAGATGTGCTATGTTGGGGAAGGGGTTTCGCTCTAGTGTTCACAGTAGAAGAAACGCTATGGATACCATCAAAATTAATAAAGATTTGGTTTGAAAAGGAGAAACCATTGATAAAGAGAATCACCAAGAAAGAGAAATCTGACTTATAATACTAATATCCTCTACAGGGTAAGATCTTATTGATATACATATAATAGTAGTCACTATTTATTAAAAATCAAAGCTGGCTTTGGAGTTGGACAGTGGCTATCTTTCTCTAAATCCAAGCATGTTGTTAAAAGAAAAATTCAGAGTTTCTGTCTCATATAAGGAGTCACCTGATATGGGACAGAAGGAAGATAAAATTTAGGGGCTAGGGGCTGGAGAGATGGCTCAGTGGTTAAGAGCATTGCCTGATCTTCCAAAGGTCCTGAGTTCAATTCCCAGCAACCACATGATGGCTTACACCCATCTATAATGAGATCTGGTGCCCAGAACACTATATACGTAAAATAAATAAATTAAAAATAAATAAATTAATTAAAAAAATTAGGGGCTACTATTATCAAAACTCTGCTTTCAAAAAACTGCAGATCACTACCCTTTCTGTGAGTTTATCCCCAAATAAATAAATCTTTGTTATACTCCGTTCTGAGCTATCGTGGAACTCTTTTGTACACCAACATAGACTAGCATGTCTAGGGTCTATAAGAAAGCAGGCTAAGTCATGAGAAGCAAGCCAATAAACAGCACTCTTCCGCATCAGCTCTAAGTGAGTTATAGGGGAATGCCCTTAGCTGAAGATGCAGAGGGCCCAAGGTCTTGGCACTCTGGAAACTGAGGCAGAAGGATTGGGAATTCCAAGATCAGCTTCGTGGGCTGTGGCAATCAGGCCAGTTTTGGTCACACGGAACTCTGTCTCAAAGCAACACACACAAAAGAGGGGAAGAGATGGGTGGTTGAAAGATTGGTGTACTTGGCCTGGTGACTCAGACCCGTAATGCCAGCAGCTTGGGAACCTGAGGCAGGAGAAGCAAAAGGCCAATGCCTGCCTGGGCTAGAGTGAGTTCAGAGTCAACCTGAGTAAGTTATAGAGACTCCATCTCAAAATAAAAGTGTTAAGGATGTAGCTAGTGGTCTATAGTCCCAACGTCAATCCCCAGTACAAATAAATAAATAGAATAAATAAATTATGGAAAGAATTAGGGAATGGGGGAAAAAAGACAATTTGTGGCCAGGCGGTGGTGGCGCACGTCTTTAATCCCAGCACTCAGGAGGCAGAATCAGGTGGATCTCTGTGAGTTCGAGGCTAGCCTGGTCTACAAGAGCTAGTTCCAGGACAGGCTCCAAAGCAACAGAGAAACCCTGTCTCAAAAAGCCAAACAAACAAACAAAAAAAAAAGACAGTTTGTGCCTGCTGTTAAAATCCTGCCTGTTAAATTCCTGGAACTTTCTCCTTGCCTTCTATTGCCAAGATGACTTACGCTGTGTCTCCAGATGAATGGTGTCTATATTCTCCTACCCATCCCCAACAGAGTTGCTAGGCAGCCAGACTGGCCTTGAATTTGCAAATAGAATTCATATTATAATTCAATGGACCCCTTGCTTCACACATCCTGACATTGCTTGAGCTCCTGTACACGACACACCCCTCCACTGTCTAGATGTAGACACACCCTGCCCAGTGCCTTAGAACTCACTCCCTCTCCAGTTAAAAAAAATTATTCGACAAATTCAAACATAAGCTTTCTTTAACTACTTGGTGTGTGTGTGCTTTCAAGGTCTGAAGACATCTGTGGGAGTAGGTTCTCTCCTTTTGCCCCGTGGATTCTGGGGACTGAACTCAGGTTTTCAGATATGGTAGAGTTCTTTTCCCTTTGAGCCACCTTGCCAGCCCTCTCCCATCTCTTCCAGAAGAAACCTATCTTCTTCCTGACAAAGCCCCTCCTACTTTGATATACTTTTTCTTTTCTTTGGACTCACTGAATTTAACTTTGCTTGCGTGAGCAGGAGTGGGGGGTCTTTACAGGAACAAGGCACTGTTACAGCCACAGAAGGAAGTAGCTCCCTACGTCAAGACAGTAGAAAGCTCCTCCTCGGGAATCAGCTTCTCCTGGCTCCAAGCCAGGAGCCAAGAAGAATAAATCTCTAACTCTATAAAGCAGCTCTAATGCCCCAGTCTCCCTCCCTTAACAATAGACTTGCAGATAGACTTGCCCTGTGGTTCTTAGCCTTTTTTACTCCTGACGTATCAGAGGTACCTACACCCCTCAGAAATGGTAGCCGGTCTTGACAAGAACAAGAAATGCCTGCCCTGCTATTGGCACTTGCCTAATTATTTAGCTGTTTTTTTTGTTGTTGTTGTTTTTCGTTTTCGAGACACGGTTTCCTTGTAGCTTTGGAGCCTGTCCTGGAACTTGCTCTGTAGACCAGGCTGGCCTTGAACTCACAGAGAACCAGCTGCCTCTGCCTCCCAAGTGCTGGGATTAAAGGCGTGCACCACCGCCTGGCAAGTTATCTAGTTTTTTTTTTTTTTTTTTTCCTCAAGACAGGGTTTCTCTGTGGCTTTGGAGCCTGTCCTGGAACTAGCTCTTCTAGACCAGGCTGGCCTCGAACTCATAGAGATCCGCCTGCCTCTGCCTCCCAAGTGCTGGGATTAAAGACGTGCGCCGCCACTGCCCGGCAAGTTATCTAGTTTTTGTCAAGGGATAGTGCATGAAAAAACTCCAGGTGTCTTGCTTATGATACTGAGAACTATTTGTGTGCCAGTGAGGTCCTTGCATTCTAAGATTGGATCTATGGTCCTGTGGTCCAATCTGCCAGGACCTTCACTGCTGGAAAAGGTTGAAAGGCATAGTCTCTCAGTCTCTCTCTCTCTGTTTGTCTCTCTCTCCCCCTCCTGTGTGTGTGTGTGTGTGTGTGTGTGTGTTTACACCCCCTTGGAGGCCAGATGAAGACATCAAGATCCCCCTTTTCGGGCTGGAGAGATGGCTCAGAGGTTAAGAGCATTGCCTGCTCTTCCAAAGGTCCTGAGTTCAATTCCCAGCAACCACATGGTGGCTCACAACCATCTGTAATGGGGTCTGGTGCCCTCTTCTGGCCTGCAGGCATACACACAGACAGAATATTGTATACATAATAAATAAATAAATGTTTAAAAAAAAAAGATCCCCCTTTTCCCTTTGGACTGTCTCTCCACACACCACAGGGCTGGGTCACAGGTGCCTGCAGCCACACCTGTGCTCATACCACGGGACCACCTCCTCAGCCCCAACTTTTGTAGTTCTGAGGTGATGCCATCAAGAAGTCTTTCAACTCAGTTATTGTACATCAATCAAGAAAGTGACAATAACCCCTGGGTTGGCCCCAGCGACTTATGCAATGATCTCCTTCTACCCTGACAGCGACTGTGTCTCTGCCCACTCTGCGCCCTTAGCATCCATCCTAGCAAATCACACTGCTTCCAGCCTCGTCCAAGGAAGAACAGCCCTGTGAGTCACAGCAGTGATGCCTTCGACCTCAACTTCCTAAAACTAAATTTACTTTCCATGCTTATTTTAAATAAATATTAATACACAATTAAATTGGTACCACACTTTGCAAATATCATTGATATCCATTCTTTATTTAAAAGCTTCCACAGCTGGGTATGGCAGCTGTCTGTAATCCCAATATTCAGGAGGCTGGGCAGGAGGTTCATGAGTTGAAGGCCAACCTGGACTACCCAATAAGTTCCATCCAGACCAGGCTGACATTGTCTCAAAAAAAAAAAAGAAAAGAAAAGAAAAAAAAAAGAAAGAAAAGAAAAGAAAAAAGACTGCTAAAAAACATAGTCAAGCCAGGTGGTGGTGACACATGCTTTTAATCCCAGCACGTGGGAGGCAGAGACAGGCAGATCTCTGAGTTTGAGGCCAGCCTGGTCTACACAGTGAGTTCCAGGACAGCCAGGTCTACACAGAGAAACCCTGTCTCAAAAAACAAAAACCCCTAAACAAACAAACAACCCCCCCAAATAGGTGGGTGTTGGTGGCGCACGCCTTTTATTTCCAGCACTCAGGAGGCAGAGGCAAGCGGATCTCTGTGAGTTTGAGGCCATCTTCATCTCTGTGAGTTTGAGGCTAGCTCCAGGACAAGTTCCAAAGCTGCATAGAAACCCTGTCTCGAGAAACCAAAAAGAAAAAATTAAAAAACCCACAAACCCCCAAAACTCCCATAATCGAGCAGGGCGGTGGTGGCGCACACCTTTAATCCCAGCACTCCGGAGGCACAGGCAGGCGGATCTCTCTGAGTTTGAGGCTAGTCTGGTCTATGAGAGCTAGTCCCAGGACACCTAGGACTGTAACACAGAAAAACCCTGTCTCAAAAAAAAAAAAAAAAAAAAAAAAAAAAGGAAAAGGG